CATATATGTTAATTTTTTTTGTTTCAAAGTTTAATTCTAATTTTATTATCTAAGAACTTAGAGAGATTACTTTTTGCTTAACATCTTTTTGAATTTATACACATTTTGTTAGAATGACTCTTTAATAATTTTTAATCTGTCCTTATAACTTTTAGAAACTTAAATTAAAAGATAAACACATTATAATTATTGTAATTAAAATAATAATTTCTTCTAAATTAAGAATTTTAGTGAAAACTTTTATATACTCCAACTAGTTCTTAACATAAAATAGACAAATACAATTACATAAGGTATTAATATCATAATCATGCAAATAATTAATAAATCATCAAATCTTTATGACAACATCTATTCTTTATATTTCTAATTGCCTTACTAAGTTTTTCTATTCTTATACCGTAAACCTTGACAAACATTCTGACATATCGATGTAAACTACATTTGCGTTATTTAACTATCCTAATATTTATTTCAGTTTCTCTTTATTAAATTCACACCTTCTTAAAACTATTTTTAAAGTTGTGAGATTTTAGAAAGGCTATTCCCCAAATTCTAATCTTATATTCTCAAAAGTAATATCCAGGATTTCCATGTTTTAACTTTTTAAATTTTTCTAAAAATAAAATGTTTGGATTTAAGCATTATTAACAATAGATGCCTTGAAAACTTTCAACCCAGAGAATTACTCTAAAAGTTAATGGCAATTATCTAAATTAAGATTACCAGAAACTTCAAAATAAAATTGCTCAAAATTGTACCTATCTAACTTCAGAAACGTATTATCTATATTCAAAATTTATTGTGCAGCAACTACTGTATTATTTCTGTATTATGGTATTATTTAGAAATATGAATAAGAAAAGGCAGTTAGAACACCTATTCTTTCAACAAAGACTTCTAATTAACGGGTATCTCTCGATTCTACATAGAGTTGCAAAAATTGTAATTGTCTAGGGCAACTTTTAATAAATACGTTAATATATGGGATATGGCTGGGATCTACTTCATCTAAATAATAGTTCAATTTTAATTAATAAAGTGGACTAACTTTTAAACATTTTATCAAATCATGTAATTCAGGTCCCATACAAAATAATCTTTATGCTTAATCAATTTCTAAAACAGTTGTTATTTAAGCAAGTACATATCTAAACTAGGCTAACATCTTCTGTTTTTTTAAATCTGCATAGTTAGAGAAGTTTAAGGATTTCACATTAATTTTAAAAGTAAATTTTTCTCTTAAGTATATTTCATCTACTTTTGAAACAATTTAGAAGGATTTAGGATATTCCAATAGTATTTAATTTGAAATTGAACTCAAATACTACATAGATTAAAAGAATTAATCAACAGAAATTTTACTCAAAATTAAAGCTGGAATAAAATAGTCTTTAATAACAACCTCTAGTATATCTTTAATTGCCTAAATGCTTTCTTTTATTTGTTGAAAAAAAGCCAGAATCCAGATTTTATCAATTTGTTAAGACGATAATGATAAAATATAGACAAAGAACTAAGGAATCTTATTCAAAGCTTCTTCAACATTTGTTCTCCACATTACTGCCTCATAGAATGGCTAATTTTTTATTTATAAAATGTTTGTGCAATCAACAGCAACAGATTTATACTAAAATACTGTCGTAGCTATACTGCCTTTAAATTTTGAAGCATAACTCTTAAACTTAAAGTAACCTTCAGAACTAAAAGTCCTTTGCACATCTTAAGCAAATTCATTTACACCGATATATAAACATATCATAATGATATCCCATATCTTTAAAAAGTTAAATGTTGCAAATAACAGAATATAAGTTAACTATCGTAAAATTGTGTAATTTCTAAATACGCGGTGTTAAAATACAGCGTATGATAACATTTATAAAATTGGATTGACTGCAGTTAGAACTATTAATGCAGATATAAACATATCACCTTCATTACTCAAATAGAAGAGAGAAACAACTTATAAGGACCCATTCAACAATGACCAAATAGTTTGTATAGTTGCTTAATATCCATTCAATTTGCTCCAAGTCTCATAAAAATCGTACAACTTTAACAAAAATTAAATATTTCCTATTGACTCTTAAAATAGAGCTCTTTTTGTTAGATTATCAATTAGGAACCTTGCATCATTGATAATTTATTAAGGTGTTTCAAGTTATTCTTATGGGGTTTAATCAATTATTTATGATTGTTAATTGATGATAAATGGAATTGAAGATCCTCTGAGGTTGACTGGAATCAGCGCAATAAACTCTTGAGAAGGTTATATGAAATTATTCTGAATAAATTAATTATGTTATACTAATTACCATCCAGAAGTAATTTTAGGATTTTCGATAAATTAGATTTACCTGACCTCCTTCCCTTGTGCATTTAGGTCAATTTTATCATTAGTCCATAATTCATCAAGATTATCTATGGTTTAATGTGAAAAGGTTATATTAGGAACATTTTAAAATATACCTTGCAAGAACAACAACCTACTTTAATCTTAATATAAAAGACTTATTTTTTCTACATTTATAAATTTTAAGCAATTGGCTAAATATTACAAGGTAATTTCTTCATATATATCAATGAAATGAAATTCAATATTTTTTAATTTTTTCTAAATTATTAAGGAACTTATTATTTAAATCATACATCTTTTCTTCTAATAAGGACTGAAGTTAGTTGGATCAATATGAAAATAAAAAGATTAAATAAATCCCATGTATTTTTAATCTGATTTTAATAATTACTTTGTTTCTTAAATTAACTTTAATTTAATTTTTTACAATTTAATTGATAGATCTGTTTAAATTTATCTATAAGTTGTAGTAAATACAATGAATTATAATTCTGAAAAGTAATAGATTAAATTACTAAGTAATAATAAGTAACTTAACACATTAAAGCCATCCCATAATCCTTTTTCTGTATTATAAAAGCCTTATATAAAGAGTTAAGGAATAGTCTAAATGGTCATAGTAATCATCATGGAAAGCAGAGCAACTCTATGGAATATTAAATCTCTAAAGATATTGACAGGTTTTGTTCTTTTTTTGAAAAGTACACAGGGGTTTCTAAGTTTATCTTCCCCACTTAATTACAAATATTTATTAATTTCACTAAATGAGAACTACCTAATTGATTAATCTCTATTGAAAAAATAAATAAATGGAGCTAGTTTTAAATAACTCAATGCTCCCATCAACATATAAAATATATAGTAGGCGATTTCAACAACAAAACTTTGTTTAGCTACTTCTTTGAATTTATAAGTGTACATCCAGACTCCACTGTGAAGTAAAATACACAAAATAATAGAAAGATTATAGCAGAACCCATAATAACTATCTTCATCAAGGATTTGATTATATGAATCATAACTTAATGTGAAGATAAGTTCAAGAATATTTAAACAATATATTAATACCTGAAATCCTATTTTAGCATAGTATTTGTGAATGCTTGAGCTTCTCTTAACTTCGTTAAAACGATTTTCTATTAACTCTTTGAATTCACTTATCGAAATCTTCTCTGTATGAATTTCCCAATCTAATCTTGGGTCAGGACTTGATTAAAAACATCTTGAAATTGAAAATTAGGCTTTTTATTCTTAGGCAACAGGCAGTGGGTCTGCATTCTTAATAATAGACTGTAATGGCTAATGATAAAAACTAATTCTTACGACTTCTTCTTTCTCTCTTTTCCTTTCTTTTTGCACATAGGTTTTCTATCTCAACTCCTTCGATTCAAGTTTGCTTTGGCTGTTTGTTTTCTTTTGTGACATTAATTATGCTTGATTTATAAAACAAAATATCTTTTTATAGTAAAAATCAACAGAATATATCAGATAAATTCAAAAAAATTCTACTTAAAAATTACACTAATATATTGTCAATCTGATAATTTCTGAATTTATATACTCATGTGAGTAATTATTAAATTTTTTATTCTTCTACAAAGTTTGAAATCCATTAAGGAGATATATGCTTAAATATAATAAAAAATAAATTTAGTTTACATAAAAGCAGTTAACTATTCCTCCAAGGAGATCATTGTAATTTATACTAACTAATATAAATATTTCTAACAGTCTAAAGTAATTTTTGTATATGATTTTGAATTTTTGATTTCTACAGTATTAGGACCCCTAAACTCAATCAAATATCAACATTGTAATTTGAATTGCTCATCAAATTTTATCTATACTCTATATTATTTCAATTAAATAAATAATTCTTTAAATAGACTTATGAGTTACCTGAAGATATAATTAACAAATACAAAATCCTTATAGACTGCTTTGATTAGAAATTTATTCAATTAGAAAGCCAGAAAGAATTTAATAGAAAAAACTAAAATTTGTTTTGGATATTACCTTGGGGTTTTGGTTGATTTAATAACCTCACCAAAGCTATTATGAGTTAGATTATCTATGAAATTAATGAAAAGGAAGAATTTTATATAATTAATTTGAATTCTATTATAATTGATTTTCGATATCAATGCATCTTAGTGTTATACTACTCTTTTATGGTTTTTATTCATAAAATTTATTGCGCAGAAATCCCTTTTGTTAGAGCTATTAATTTCTGAATTTATTTTGGATGTGAATTAAGAATTAAATTCTGGAATGAAATAATTATAAATCTATCTATTCAAATGAATTCTAATACTAATAAAAAAGTGATGCCTATGTTATTTTGACAACTTAAAGTAATTGATTCTAAAATGTATGTATTAGATTCATTCAAAAAATTTTAAAATATATGCGTTCAAATTTAGGGTGAATCTTATTAAAATAATGTGTCAAGTTTATAATTTAGGTGAGAAATTTTATAACAATGATTATAATTGCAATTCATTAAGATTAGTAAGATAAATATAAAATTAAAAGTTTTTCTTCAGATCTAAACTTTGCGAATATACATTATAATGCAAATTCAATTACTTTATTGCCTCTTATTTTTGTGATGGTCCAAATCAATTCCTACAAATTAAGTCTATAATAAATAATACATCAAAAAATATAGCTAAAGTATCTTGTAAATATTAAAGCTACTTGCTCGGGAATTAAATTATAAAAAAACCTTTAATTTATGCTATTGATAATTATAAATGATGTCGGCTATAATCAGGAAAGATCACCTATTATAGCAGTTAGATAATTAATCTTGGCTCTAACATTCTTATAATTCTAGATTAAAAGTTTAAATTCTTATGAAAATTTTGCTTTTATCTTGATATAAAAATTTATAAGAATAGTTTAATACTTGAACTGAATATAGGGATGAATCTGATTGATATAATAATAATTGCGTCTCTTAACTAATTCATAAAAATATTTTTTTCTGTTTCAATTGTTATTCATAGAAAAAATGGGTAAATAAACATTGAGGGTTAAATCAGATGGCTTCCTATTAAAGTTAAAGATGAAACTTTAAATTAAAAAAATCCTTTTAGGTCTTTCTTGCAATTAATATGCTTTAGAGGATTGCTTCGCATTTGATAGGCAGAACTAAGACCTTGTCTTCATCAGTGTTGGAATTAATTTATTTAACTGATTAATAATAATCATATTTAATTGACTAAACTTAAAATCCATCATCTAAATTCAAGATATTTTCTTGGTTTTATTAATTTACTATTGAAAATCATTAATAATAAAACGTAAGAACATCATTTAAAAATATTCAAAAAGTAACAGTCAGTTAATGTATAAAAATATGATTAAATGTTAAATTTATTTTCATAGATTTCAGAATTATAGAATAAAAACGACACAGATTGGAAATTAAAAAAAATTTTCTTAATTAATTCTTGAAACCAATAATGAGTTATAATATAATGTCTAATTCGACTCTAATTGCTGTTTCATAATGAAGTAGTAGTTCAAAACATGTTTAATATAAGATAAAGTTGTAAATAGTATTGTGTAATAAACCTGAAAATTTTTAAATATTTTAAATTCATAATCGTATCTCACCTATTGTAATGTCCCTAATGAATGAAGTGTTATATCAAAATGGTTTATTTCTCAATGATATAAAAATTTGTTGTTTTCTACAAAAAGAAATAATCTAAGACAATGTTTGACTAAAACGAATTTTTTTTAATAATACTTATTCTTCCATATAATTTTATCATTTCGAAAATGTACGACGATTTTCACAAAAGAAGAGTTGGTTTAATTATGAATTCGATTATGTTATAATAAACATCAATTTATTTTTAATAGAATTGTTTACAAGAAAAGGCAAATAAAAGAGGGGTTATTCTTTGAAAAAAAAATGGATGTTAAAATATTTTTTTGTTCGATTTGAAAAGAAAGAACTCCAACTAAATCACCTGAACTATTGGCTAGATCACTTGTTTAATTGTGCTACAGTAAATAAATCATCTATTTTAACTTTGCCACTACACTACGAGGCAATATTTAATTTTTTTGAATTAGAATTATTAACAATAATATTTAATTCACAAGTAATTCACATGTTGTTAATAAAATTTATTTATTAATATATCATAATCAGCTATTGTTTTTGCTATTTTATTATTACATCTATACAATAATAAGTATTTGTAATTAATATATAATTTGCTTAACTTAGAATCAGTAATATTTATAAGGACTTAGAGTATATGTCTGTCTCATGCATCTTAAATTTGTTAATAGTTATTGGATTCATAGAATGCAATTAAAAGAATTGGATAAATACATCCACGAACTTTCTACTTTTGTTATAAATTATAAACATTTTCTAAGAATTAGATTGTCTAAATTTATAATAAGTGTTTTTATCTAATCTAAAGCTGAAGTATTGGCGCTATCTATCCTATATCATTTTTATTTATTTCTTACAATCGGATATTAATAAAAATACTTAGAAAAATTATCAAATGACAGAAAAAGGTAGATATGTCTGTGAATTTAAAATAAAGACCACCATCTATTTTACTAATTCATGAAATAAAATATTAAATTTAATAATTTCTCTATCTAATTCTCAATAGTAATTCTAGGATTCTGATTTGAAAAATAGTAACATTCAATTATTTTTGAAATAATAATCAAGAAATTATTTATGTTTTAATTATTAATCAAGAATATAAAGATATTATTATTGAAAATTTATTAATATTAGGTAATTTTAATTATTTTTAAAGGACAGAAAGTTTTGTTTACAAATATTTTCTTTCTTTTAATTGTAAGTAAGAAACTAAACTTTAACTAAATGAAATCCAAATTATCTTCAATAAGCAGAAAAATAAAGAATTTATATATGAAATTTTATTTCTAATAATTCAAACAGGGTTGAGAAGGATCCAAGTATTATTTAATTAATACATAATTTTAATAATAATGCATATATTTTAATCATTTTAGATATAATGGTTTTAACTAATTTATATTGAGCTCCATATCATTGAAATAAAATCTCCACAAATTTAATCCACTATAATTTAAATTTAATAAATTTTGGCTATTTACAATTTATAATTATTAATTGATTGGTGCCATTTCATTTTTTTTATGAAGATGTAAAACTTATTTTCCTAATTTTGTTTCATACACTTCTACTTAATCTTATGAAATTGCGATCAATATTTTATCATGTTAAATTAAATAAATATCAGTTGAATAGGAGGTTTCTTTTGAATTAAATCTTCTTAAAATTTTTCTCCTATACAAACTTAACTAATATATATAAGAGTGCCTTGCATCTAATTTAACTGATTAATAGATTAATTTACCTCTATTGCTAATACAACTATCTTTATAATTTTACCTGGTAGTGAAATTCCTATTAATGTATAATTATTTTCCATTTTTACAATAAATAGCCTTTACAATTTATTTAAAATAAATAGTTAAGATATCTTTATATAATATCATTGAATAAGGTTACTCAAATGGAGTTATAGAATTAATTTATCTAGAATTAATTACTTAGTTCTCGTAATTAAGTTAGTTCAATTAACTATTACCATATAGTTACAGCATTGTTGTTTCTTAGAAAATTACTAGATTTTGAGCATTGTTTGTCTCATACTATATAAATATTTATTTATTAGCATCATAGAAGCAAAATACTTAATTAGTATAAATTCCAATTTAATTTAAATCGTAGTTACAGATTAATTTGGCAGTGTACAATTTATAATTAACATCTTCTTCAAATCGTTTAAAAATAGAAAAATCTGATTAATTTAATAAAGTAATAATTATTCTGCACCTTTAAAGTTTGTTATTGATTATTATTCCAGCTTATATGAGAATAAGAAAAATAAAGTCTTTAGTTCCTCCAATTAATATAACTTTAAATTTATCCTTTATTTTGAATTACAATTATGGTTCTTAGTAAATTGAAAAAAAAAATTTATTTATATTTGTTTTCAATATTTCGAACTAAGATTGCAAATACTTTTGAAAGTCATTTTATTATAAATTACTGCTGACTTATTTCAGTTTATTTAATTAAAGGTACTCTTCATCTATTAAGTCATACTAATCTTCATCAAAAATATAATGGACAACATCATTGATAGTTTGCTCATATTCTTCTTTGTAATTAATTGAAGTCTTATCGTTTTGGATAAGCTTGAAATTTTATTAAAGCCATTCAATATGATATTTTTCCGCTATTCTATTGATTAAAGTGATTTAATCTTATATATAATCATCATCATTTTCATGATTTTGAAAATTCATGAAAAAGGAAAGAATAAATATATATATTAATTCAAACACAAATTCAAAGTATTAAAATGTATAGAATTAAATAT